GAATATAGAATAGAATAGAATAGAATAATTAGAATAGATTCAGAATAGAATAGAATGTAAAATAGAATAGAATGTAGAATAGAATGGAATAGAATGTAGAATGGAATAGAATATAGAATAGAATAGAATAGAATAGAATAGAATTATTTATTGGTCAAGTGTGATTTGTCTTTGGTGCAGATGCTCTCAGTGTCCATAAAAGAAAAGATACATTTGTCAATCATAAGATACAACACTTATGTGATAGTCATAGGATAATACATAATAAATCAAAACAATACTAGCAAACTAAATAAAACAATATAAATCGTAAAGATTCAAGCAACAAGGTTGATGTCATAAGTGGGAGGAGGTGGGTAATAGGAAGGATGAGAAGAAGGATAGTAATACAGTCTTAAGTAATACAGTTTAAGCCCTAATGCTGTTAGCTGGATTTTATGCTTAGCCTGATTCTTAATAATTACTTAATATTTAACAAAATTAAGTAAATGCGCGTACAGGTAGCCCTCGACTTACAGCGGTGTGTTTAGTAGCCAAAGTTACAACGGCACTGAAAAATAGCGGCTTAACAACCATTTTTTGCACTTACGACCGTTGCAGCATCCCCATGGTCACGTGGTTTACATCCCGATGCTTGGCTACTGGTTCATATTTACGACGGGGTCACGTGATCCCCTTTTGCGACCTCCTGACAAGCAAAGTCGGTGAGGGAAGCCAGATTCACTTAACAACCGGGTGACTTGACTTAACAGCCGCGGCGACTTCACTTAACAAAGGCTGCAACGAAAGTTGTAAAATGGGGGCCAAACCTCGCTTAACAAATGCCTCCCCTCAGCAACATAAGTTTGGGGCAGTCGTAAGTCGAGTCTAAAGTAAAATTGAATCCACCAAAGCAATGAGCAAGTGATTTCTCCCAGAAAAATATAAAAAGGCAATTTTAAAACTGCTTTTTTGGGGAACTTAAAAAAATGAGGGAGGGGGAGGGCGGAACACCCCTTGTCCTTATGACCAATGATTTCTAAATTGGGGAGGGTTTTTTCCTCCCCCCTTTCCCCCTTTGCTTCTGCTGCGTTGAGTGGCCCCTGGAGGCATCAGACGGTCTTCCTGAGGATGACATATGGTCCATTAGGGATAACAAAAGTCCTTGCCACAACAGATGGTCGAAAGCTATCCTTCCCCCCCCCCCCAATTCTGGTCCCTGGGTACCTGGAGATGGCAGGGCTGAGATAAAATTAAGACAGCTGGTTGCAGAGGAGGGCGGCGGGGGGGGGACGACTGCATTTCCTGGAGAAAGCCAGGTGGGGACCGACGCCCACCCAGGCAGAGATTGGATGAGCCCCTCCTGGATCCGCCTGATAGCAATAGCGCTTAAACTTATATCCCGCTTCATAGTGCTCTTNAAGTACCTCCTTCCCGTGAACTTTGGTGGCAAGAGGGGAATTTTGGGAATTGCAATTCCAGTACACCAGAAGGCCTCTTAGTAAGAGGTGTGTGTGTGTGTTTGTTTGTGTTTGTGTGTGTGTATTGGGAAAGCTGCTTCCAGATAGGGGAGCCCAGCCATTAGAGGCCTGCAGGTAACTCTCCCTCTTCCTTTTTCTCCTCCTTCTCTTTTCTTCCAGCTCTTCCGGGAAGTGCGAATAATGAAGGTTCTGAATCACCCGAATATAGGTGAGAACGCCAGCTGGGAGTCCCTCCCCCCCCCCCGTTTCCCCCCTCCCTTCCAGATGTGACTCTTCCTTATCTGCCTGTTGTGATGGGAAGCGGCAGATGGGCCTGGCCTATCGAGCATCGCCCCAGCCTTTCCTTGGTCTCAAACATCTGGATTTGCTGCCTGGAGCTTGAGGAAGTTCGTTTCCAGCACATCTGGGAATTAGTGACATAAAGCAATGTTGCTTCTCCGAAGCCATCTGGGAAAGCTGTTTTTCCTGGGTGGGGGGGGGTCTTGTGGCAAGAAAGAGGCGCTGGGTGGATTCAGGAGGGTCTCAAGAACACCTCAGCCTGGCTAACCCACCACGGGTTGACCGCCAGTAATCTTCGACTTACAACTGTTCGTTTAGTGACGGTTCAAAGTTACAGCGGCACTGAAAAAATGTGGCTGACCACCATTTTTTTTTACACTTAACGACCATTGGAGAATTAACGACCCCATAATCCCTTGCGGTGAGGAGTGTGGGCAACTGAATGGAGCTAGTGAGAGTGTTTACTGGCTAGATGCCCTTCCTGTCGCCGATGAGGAGTTTTGTTCAGTAGATATATGGAGAATTCCCGTGATCAAAATTCAGACGCTTGGCAACGGACTCCTATATACGACGGTCACCACATCCAGGGGTCACGTGATCCTCTTTTGCGACCTTCTGTCAAGGGGGATACCCGATTTGCTTAACAACTGTGGCTGTGATTCCCTTAACAATCATGGCAAGGAAGGTCGCAAAATGCGGCAGGTTTGATTGAACTAATGTCTCGCTTAGTGATGGAAATTTGTGGTCGCAAGTCGAGGACTGGCTGTAATGGCTTCCTCTTAACCCGCAGCCATGTTTCCTCTTCCTGAGCCAGGTATTTCTAATCTCACACTATTCTCCTCCCTCTTTTTGCCTTTCAGTTAAATTATTTGAAGTCATAGAGACGGATAAGACGCTGTACCTCGTCATGGAGTATGCCAGCGGAGGTGAGTCCGTGTCGCTCCCCACCTCCCCACCCCAGTTCCAGATCCCAGGAATCTAATGGCGTTTGCAAACTTCACACTTTAGAATAGAATAGGATTCTTTATTGGCCAAATATGATTGGACACCCAAGGAATTTGTCTTCCGTGCAGAGGCTCTCAGTATACATAAAAGAAAAGATACATTTGTCAAGAATCATAAGATACAGCACATAGTGATAGTCACAGGGTAATAAATAATAAGTCAAAACAATACTAGGAAACTAAATAAAATAATATAATCGTAAAGATACAAGCAACAAGGTTATCGTCGTAAGTAGAGAAGGAGATGGGTAATAGGAAGGATGAGAATATTAATAGAGCCTTAGTAAATAGTTTGACAGAATTAGCAGAAGGATGGCAGAGAAAGAAGGAAGGAAAACTGGGGAGAGAATGGAAAAGAGAATAGAACAGAACGGAACAACAGAATAGAATAGATTAGAATAGATTCAGTGTAGGATGTAGAATAGAATAGATTAGAGAAGATTCAGAATAGAATAGAATGAAGAATAGAATAGATTCAGAATAGAATAGAATATAGAATAGAATAGAATAGAATAATTAGAATAGATTCAGAATAGAATAGAATGTAAAATAGAATAGAATGTAGAATAGAATGGAATAGAATGTAGAATGGAATAGAATATAGAATAGAATAGAATAGAATAGAATAGAATTATTTATTGGTCAAGTGTGATTTGTCTTTGGTGCAGATGCTCTCAGTGTCCATAAAAGAAAAGATACATTTGTCAATCATAAGATACAACACTTATGTGATAGTCATAGGATAATACATAATAAATCAAAACAATACTAGCAAACTAAATAAAACAATATAAATCGTAAAGATTCAAGCAACAAGGTTGATGTCATAAGTGGGAGGAGGTGGGTAATAGGAAGGATGAGAAGAAGGATAGTAATACAGTCTTAAGTAATACAGTTTAAGCCCTAATGCTGTTAGCTGGATTTTATGCTTAGCCTGATTCTTAATAATTACTTAATATTTAACAAAATTAAGTAAATGCGCGTACAGGTAGCCCTCGACTTACAGCGGTGTGTTTAGTAGCCAAAGTTACAACGGCACTGAAAAATAGCGGCTTAACAACCATTTTTTGCACTTACGACCGTTGCAGCATCCCCATGGTCACGTGGTTTACATCCCGATGCTTGGCTACTGGTTCATATTTACGACGGGGTCACGTGATCCCCTTTTGCGACCTCCTGACAAGCAAAGTCGGTGAGGGAAGCCAGATTCACTTAACAACCGGGTGACTTGACTTAACAGCCGCGGCGACTTCACTTAACAAAGGCTGCAACGAAAGTTGTAAAATGGGGGCCAAACCTCGCTTAACAAATGCCTCCCCTCAGCAACATAAGTTTGGGGCAGTCGTAAGTCGAGTCTAAAGTAAAATTGAATCCACCAAAGCAATGAGCAAGTGATTTCTCCCAGAAAAATATAAAAAGGCAATTTTAAAACTGCTTTTTTGGGGAACTTAAAAAAATGAGGGAGGGGGAGGGCGCAACCCCCCTTCTCCTTATGACCAATGCTTTCGAAATTGGGGAGGGTTTTTTCCTCCCCCCTTCCCCCCTTTGCTTCTGCTGCGTTGAGTGGCCCCTGGAGGCATCAGACGGTCTTCCTGAGGATGACATATGGTCCATTAGGGATAACAAAAGTCCTTGC